GTGCAGAAACTTTTTATCTTGAAGTCCTATTTGTTCATTTTTGCTTTTGTTTCCCTTGCCTGTGGTGACGTGTCTAGTAAGAAGTTGCTATGGCCGAGGTCAGAGATGTTTCTGCTTGTGTTCTCTAGAATTTTGATGGTTTCCTGTCTCATGTTAAGGTCTTTTATCCATTTTGAATTTATTTTTGTGTATGGTGTAAGAACGTGGTCTAGTTTCATTCTTTTGCATGTTGCTGTCCATTTTCCCCAGCACCGTTTGTTGAAGAGACTGTCTTTTTTCCATGGGATATTCTTTCCTGCTTTGCCGAAGATTAGTTGACCATAGAGTTGTGGGTCCTTTTCTGGGTTCTCTATTCTGTTCCATTGACCTGTGTGTCTGTTTTTATGCCAGTACCATACCGTCTTGATGACTACAGCTTTGTAATGTCACTTGAAATCTGGAATTGTGATTCCTCCAGTTTTGTTTTTCTTTTTCAGAATTGCTTTGGCTATTTGGGGTCTTTTGTGGTTCTGTACCAATTTTAGGATTGTTTGTTCTAGCTCTGTGAAAAATGCTGGTGGTATTTTGGTGGGATTGCATTAAATGTGTAGATTGCTTTGGGTAGTATAGACATTTTAACAATATTCTTATAATCCATGAGCGTGGAATGCTTTTCCATTTCTTTGTGTCCTCTTCAATTTCTTTCATAACTCTTCTATAGTTTTCAGAGTACAGATCTTTTACTTCTTTAGTTAGATTTATTGCTAGGTATCTTACTGTTTTTGGTGCAGTTACAAACGGGATCAATTCCTTGATTTCTTTTTCCGCTGCTTCGTTACTTGTGTATAGAAATGCAACAGATTTCTGCACATTGATTTTGTATCCTGCAACTTTGCTGAATTCATGTATGAGTTTTAGCAATTTTTTGGTGGAGTCTTTTGGGTTTTTTACATAGAGTATGTGTTGTCTGCAAATAATGAAAGTTTGATTTCTTCCTTGCCAATCATAGTTTTAAGCATATCTTAGATATTGCTATACTTTGCTAGATTTATACCTAAGTTTTTCATGATCTTTGGTGCTATTGTAAATGGTTGTGTTTTGGAAATTTCATGGAGAAATACAGTTGATTTTTGTATGTTGACCATATATCCTGTAACCTTACTAAATTTATTAATTCTATTGGCTTTTTTTTGTGTGTGGGGGATATCATATGTAAACGATCATGTTGTCTGTGAATAGAGACAGTTTTATTTCTTTCCAATCTGTATGCCTTTCATTTGTTTTTCTTGCCTAATTTCATTGCCTAGGACCTCCAGTATAATGATGAGTAGAAGTAGTAAGAGTTGATAAACTTGTCCTGCTCCCAATATTAAGGAGAAAGCACTTAGCCTTTCATCATTAAGTATGATAATTGTTAGCTGTAGATTTTATGGGTATCTTAATTTATTAAGTTCTGGAATTTCCTGTCTAATCCTGGTTTGCTGAGAGGTTTTTTTTTTTTTTAATTATTATCATGAGAGGATGTTGAAATTTGATTTGCTAAAGGCTTTTTCTGCATATGTTGAGAGAGTAAGTTTTTTCCACCCCCTTTAGTATGTGGATGATATGATAAATTATATTGATTAATTCTCAAATGTTGAACTAGCCTTGCTTTCTCATGATAAACCTTACCTGGTCATAATGCTGGATTTGATTTGCTATATATTGTTGGAGTCTGTATATTGCTGGATTTTTTTTTTTTTTAAAGATTTTATTTATTTGACAGAGAGAGAGACAGCGAGAGCAGGAACACAAGCAGGGGGAGTGGGGGAGGGAGAAGCAGGCTTCCTGCTGAACAGGGAGCCTGATGTGGGGCTCAGTCCCAGGACCCTGGGATCATGACCTGAGCCGAAGGCAGATGCTTAACGACTGAGCCACCCAGGCGCCCCTGTATATTGCTGGATTTGATTTGCTCTTATTTTGTTGAGGATCCTTGTGTCTGGTTTTGGTATCAAGGTAATGCTGGGAATGAGTTGAGAATTAATCCTTCCACTTTTATATACTAGGTTTGTGTAGAGATGATTATTTTTCCTTTAAATTCTTAAAGAATTTTAGAATTCACCAGTGAGTCCATAAGGTTCTGAAGCGTTTGTTGTTGTTGTGTTGTTTTTGTTTTTTGGAAGTTTCTTAACTACAATTCAGGTGTGAGCTTTGACAGTTTGCATCTTTCAAGGAATTGGAACGTTTTATCTCATTTGTTAAATTTACAGGCACAGGGTTGTTCAGAGTATTTTCTTATTATTTTTTAAATGACTGAGGGTATGTAAAGATGTCCTGCTTTCATTCATGATGTTTGCAGTTTGTGTCTTCTCTCTTTTGTTTCCTTGGTCCCTAGCTGTAAGTTTATTAATCTTACTTATCCTTACAAAGAACCAGCTTTTGGTTTCATTGATTTTCTCTATTCTTTTTCTGTTCTTAATTTCTTTTTTTTTTAAAGATTTTATTTATTTGAGATTGAGAGAGTGAGAGAGAGTGTGCAAGAGAGTGAGCATGAGCTGGGTGGGGGGGGATAAGAGGGAGAAGGAGAAGCAGGCTCCCCGCTGAGCAGAGAGCCTGATGTGGGGCTCAGTCCCAGGACCCCGGGATCATGACCTGAGCCAAGGCAGATGCTTAACCGACTGAGCCACTCAGGTGCCCCATAATTTCTTATCTTTATTGTTTCTCTCCTGCTTGCTTTGGGCCTTCACTTTCTAGTTTCTTAAAATGGAAGTTTAGGTCATTGATTTGAGACCTTTCCTAATACAAATGTTTAATGCTATACATTTCCTTCTAAACACTGCTTTTGCTGCATCCTACAAATTTTTATATATCGTGTTATCATTTTCACTCAATTCAAAATGTTTTTAAATTTCTTTGTGATTTTATCTTTCACTATGAGTTATTTGGGAGTATATTTATTAATTTCCAAATGTTTGGAGATTTTCCAAAATCAGTTGTTAGGTGCATACAGATTTAGGATTCTTACGTCTTTTTGGGGTTGACTCTTATCGTTATATAATACCTCTTTTTATCCCTGGTAATATTTCTGTTCTAAAGTCTACTTTGATTGAATGGTTTTTAAAAACTTCCATGGTAAAGTTGCAAGAGTAGCACATTTAGAATTACTAGTAATCCTCAAAATTTATTCTGATTTATGTTTTCTTTAGGTTGGAACATTAAGATTTTGCGGAACAACAGAATTTGCAACTGGGCAGTGGGCTGGCATTGAGTTGGATGAACCAGAAGGAAAAAACAATGGAAGTGTTGGGAAAATCCAGTACTTTAAATGTGCGCCCAAATACGGTAAGGTAGATACTATCTAACTTAATGAGAATTAGTTTAAGATAACCAAATTTACTTTTATTTATTTATTTTTATTTTTATCATTTTTAAAAAAGATTTTATTTATTTGGAGAAAGAGAGCATGATCGGGGTGGGGGGGAAGGAGAGGAGAGAGAGAATCCCAAGCAGACTCCTCGCGAGTACGGAGCCCAGTGTGGAGCTTGATCTCCTGACCCTGAGATCATGACCTGAGCTGAAATCAAGAGTTGGATGCTTAACCAAGCTTAACCAACTGGGCCACCCAGGCATCCCTACTCTTCTATTGTTTTTAAATAAACCTGGTTAGGCGGGGAAAAAAAAAAAAAAAAAGAAACCTTTCCTCCTGGTTATCTATGTAGTTAATGAAGGGACTGCCTTTTTCCTGCTATGAGCAGTGTAGTGATGGGAAGATGGTGTCCCACCAGGAGTACTTCTGGCTCCGTGGACCTCCTGTAAGTCCTGCTTAGGGTGCTATCATGACTGAGGGAGGGACTTTGTTATCAAGGAAATACAGAACTCCGGGGGTTGAAAAACTTGAAAACTTGGAAAAGCAAGTGAAGCGAACTTTAAAACTGTATTCCTGAGGTGGATGATTCTTTCTCTTTCTGACAGATGTTTGTTTAAATTCATATTCTTTCTCTCTCATACACATACATACATACAGACTCCTTGACATATTGAACTAAATTTGTCACTTGCTATGTTGTGAATATTTTTCCTTGCCGTGAAATATTCTTCTAGAACATTAACTTCCCTGGTTGCACGTGTTTCAATTATAGCTGCACAGGGAGATACTCTGGTCTAATGCTGAAGTCCTTGCTTGGAGTCTGACAGCTTGGGTGTGAATCAGCTTCTCTACCTACCAGTTATGTGACCTTAATTCTCTTCTTGTGCCTCAGTTTGTCTTCTATAAAATGGGGCTAACAATACCTCAAGAGTTTGTATGAGGATTAAATGTGTTGATAAATGTATAAAGCACCTTGAATAGTGCTTGATTCCCTATAAGTACTCAACTAATGGTAGCTATTTGCTAGCTGTTATAAATTTATCAAAATTATCAGTTTCCTTTTGTCATACACTTAAAATGGAGCATCATTTTTTGTTTATTAATTTTTTTGTTTATAAAAGTATTGTATAAAATTTGAAAAACATAAAGAAGGTTAAAAGAAGAAAATAAAATCACTGGTATATTTCTTCTGTTTAATTCTTTTTGCAAAATTTGGATTATATATAGTTACATATTTTGCATTTTTGCTTGATATGCTATTATAATTTCTCCAAATCATTAAATATCGTTTGAAAATGTGATTTTTAATGGCTCCATTTCCTTTAATTTTTCCAATTTAACGGGTAAAAATTTCTATGTTTGAATTCATATTTCTCTGATTGTGGTGAAATAAAACACTTAAAATATTTTGTTGTAATATATATATTAGCAATTGCCAAGAAATAATTATTCATATTACATGCTCATTAAATAATTGAGGGATTAGTGGGTTTTAAAAAACTTTAGAAATACAAATACGTATTTAAGATATTAAACTTTTATAGTTATCATAGATATTTTGCCCAGTTTGTCATTTGCCTTTGAACTTCATTTGCAGTGTTTTGGCATAGAGTTTTATGTAGTTAAGAGACTTTTTCTTTATAATTTCTTAACATTGCTTTTATGTTTAGATAGTTCTTTCTAATCCAAGGATTAATTTAAAACTATATATTTTATTCTTTTGAATGTTTTAATTTTTTGCCCTATATTATTTAACCCATTTGGAATATATTTGGGTAGTTCTGTGGAATTAAGAATTTGATTTTAGTTTTCCTCTGTTAGCTAATTGTGGCAGCTGTGAAGCCGACTGAGGGCAAAAGGATCAAAACTCCTAGCAACACACAGGGTTGATGTCAATCGGAGTCACGGGAAAGGCTTAGCTTGTAACAGAATGCATGTTGCCCCCCAAATCTCATCATCCCAAGGAGAGGCATGCTTGATGAGGACAAAGCCAGATACACCAAGGACCCTGCTTCTGTCCCTTTCACATGCTTAAAGGCGAGTTTTGGGGGGCAAGGATCATGTGTTGGATTATGGAAAAATGGGAGTTGCCCTGACTAAGCAGAAGCCAAAGAATTTGTCTCTTCTCAGTAACAGATTTTTTTTTTCCGCCTCTATCATTTTTCCTTTGGCTTGTTGTGCTTCCTTTATTATAAATTCTTATAAATGCTATCGTCTGTTTCAGGATTATTTTGTTCAACTGATCTGTTAATTCTCACACAGATTAGATTTTTTCAGTTGTAGAAATTTTATAATAATTTTTAAGACTTTTTTTTAGAGCAGCTTGGGTTCAAAACAAAATTGAGAGGAAGGTACAGAGATTTCCTCTGTATCCCCTGTTCCCATGTGTGCAGGGCCACTCCCATTATCAGTGTCCCTTCACCAGAGGGTACATTTCTTAACATAGAGGAACCTACACTGATGACTCGTCATCAGCATTGAGTCCATAGTTTACATTGGGGTTCACTCTTGGTGGTGGATGTTCTGTGAGTTTGGACAAGTGTTTAATGACATGTCTCTATCATTACAGTGTCTATATAGAGGATTGTCACTGCCCTGAGAACCCTCTGTGCTCTGCCTATTCCTCCCTTCCCTGCTCAACTCCTAGCAGCCACTGATCTTTTTACTGTCTTCTTAGTTTTATCTTTTCCAGAATGTCATATCGTTGGAATTCTACAGTACGAACCCGGCCTCTTCAGACTGGCTTCTTTCACTGTGTAATTTGCATTTAAGTTTCCTCCATGTGTTTTCATGGCTTGATAGCTCATGTCTTTTTAGCCCTGAATAATATTCCATTGTCTGGATGTACTACAATTTATTTACCCATTCATCTACTAAAGGATATCTTGGTTGCTTCTAAGTTTTAGCGATTATGAAAATTTTTATAATAAATTTTAATACTTGGTAATACCATTTTTATGTCTTTTAATAATTACCGAAGTGAATACATAAGTCAAATTGTATTATAAGGTTTATTAAAAACATCAGTTAACTCCTTCCCTGGCTTGCCCTTCCCTGACCCTGAGTCCTGTCCTTTAGAGGCAAGAACTATTTTAACATCTTTAGTTGTATCTTGTGATATTAATATTTGTATTTGTAAATAATACATGTATATGAGTCTCCCTTGATTTTTCCGATTTTATTTTTATTGTTTTAAAGATTTTATTTTTTTTAAATAAAGGGTTTTTTTTTAAATATTTATTTACTTGAGAGAGTATGCACAAGTTGGGGGGAGGAGCAGGGGGACAGAGGGAGAAGCAGAGCAGGGAGCCCAATGTGGGGCTCAATCCCAGGACCCTGAGATCATGACCTGAGCCGAAGGCAGACACTTAACAGACTGAGCCACCCAGGTGCCCCTAAAAGATTTTATTTTTAAGTAATCTCCACAACCGACTTGGGGCTTGAACTCATGACCCGGAGATCAAGAGTCACACGCTCCACTGACTGAGCCAGCCAGGCGTCCCTGATTTTTCCAGTTTTAGACTTCTGTTGAGTTCAGTTCATACTATAAGTAGAAAGATTGGGCGCCTTCATTCTAAGTCAGTTCTTTTCTTGGTTTACTTCTTTGTTTTGGTGGAGCACATCCTCTAGTAGCTTTTTGACAAAGGACTCATGGGAGATAAATTTTTTGAAAACTTCCATTCTAAAAATATGTTTATTTCTACCCTCATACTTCATATGATAGTTTGATGGGATAAAGAATGTTAGGCCGGAACTCATATTTTCTCTGTATTTAGAAGGTGATGTATATTTTTTTATTATGTTATGTTAATCACCATACATTACATCATTAGTTTTTGATGTAGTATTCCATGATTCATTGTTTGCGTATAAAACCCAGTGCTCCATTCAATCAATACGTGCCCTACTTAATACC